TTCTGAAAGTGGCTGCAACAATATCTTCTTATAACATGACTTTAGTTAATATTCCTTCATCAAGGGGAGGCAAGAATTAAATTTCCTTTGCTTAAATGTACGCAGGCTCTTGACTACAATGAAAGTGATGCTGCCTTCTGAGGTCTCATTCTCTTAGGATGTTTGCTTAGAATGCCATCATAGACCATGAGAAAGTCCAAGTAGGCCATGCCTGCAATATGAGTGTAGATCTTGAGAATAAAACCTCCAGAGACAAATTATCTCTGCCAAGCCCTTCCCAAATTGTAGATTTAAAAGCAAAACAAATGACTGTTGTTTTCACTCACTAAGCTTTGGAGTAGCTTGTTATGCAGCAACAATAGCCAGAATAGATTTTGATAGTTGGATACAGGGTGCTGCCAAAACAAAAACTTAAAATATGTGGCATTAGCACTGAGATTAGGCAGCAGACAGAAGCTGGAAAAGCCTCAAAGCCAGTGCCTATCAAGTCAAAAGGGCCAAGGAAGGGATAGATTAATGGAAGCCTTAAAAGCTGTAAGAAAGGCGTTGGTGAAAGCTTAAAGGAAAAAAAAATTAACTGGAAGCTGAAGCAAGGTTTCTTCTCTCTCTGCAGTCTTTTACTTAGATCTGGGTCAACAATGTAAGACTCACTCCCTCTCTTCCTCTGTGCATGTACAAAGAAGAGTTTCAGTAAGCAGGGTGATGACAGCCTTCAACAAGTCAGGAAGATAGTCTTCTCCAGAACCTGACCATGCTTGTACCCTGCAAATTTCCAGCCTCCAGAACAAGGAGATAATACAAATGATGCAGCTTCCTCTTAGTTCTTTGGGGATTCTTGCTCTCAGAATCTAGCCAGTATGTCAGGAGGGAACCCAAGCAGTACACAGAGAGCAAAAAAATCTTCCAGTCCATAGCCTTAGCCAAGTTACTGGTACATAAGCAACATTAACTTGCCAGCTATGTGAGATGGCCATCTTAAAAGTGGTCCTCTATTCCCCAGTTGAACAGCCCAAACTCATAAGATGTGACACAGATAAGCAGTCCCTAACAAGCCCTGTCAAACTTGCAGATTTGTGAGCAAAATAAATGACTGATGTCAGTTTGTTTTGGGGTAGCCTGTTAGTAGCAATAGATAACTGATATAGGCATCATCTCCTTTATGTCTTCCTCAAGCTCCAGGTAAGGTTAAATGCTCTCCCATTTCTGCTCCCGAAGAACTCTTTGTGAAAATAATCTTAGCAATTATTGTACTTTATTGAATTTAACTCTTCACTTTGAAGAGTTAACTCTTCTCTCTTTGCTCGAGTAAGGCCATGCTTTTTGAAAAATTGGCTCCACAAATATATTATGTTTGCTACATTCTCTCTTTCTCCTCTGGAACTTTGATTAGACATGTGAAAACTTTGCAGTGTATCTTTCAAGTCTCTCAGCTTCTCTTTCATATTTTCCACATTTTTGTCTCTGGGCAACATTCTGAAAAATGTATTGTGGCCTAATTTCCAGTTCACTATATCTCTCTCCAGCTGAATCTCATTTGTTTTTCCACTCATCCACAGAGTACTAAATATTGTGTGTGTGTGTGTGTGTGCGCGTGTGTGTGCGCGCGCGCGCAACTGGATTTTTAATTTCTAAAATATTTTTTTTCTCTCCAATATGCTAGGTCATTTTTTTTTTAGTTTCTATTTCTAAAAAATACCTTCAGACTTATTTTTCCTTTATAATGGCACAGTCATTTTATAGTCTACATCTGCTAATTCCAATATTTGAAAGCTCTTAAGGTGTGGAACTGCTCTTCCTTGTTTTTGTTGGTTCCTGTTTGGGGTTTCTTTCCCTATAGGCTTAATTATTAAAAACTGCTAATTTTAATAGGAAAAGTATTTATAGCAATTATTTGGGGACTTAAAGGAAAGTATATTTCTCTCCAGAGGGATTACATTTCTTCCACTTGATAACTGAGGGTATGACTAAATTCATGAATTGACATTTTTTGGACCACCTAGATGATACGAATTTTGGGTGGCAATCTGTGAGGGCTAGTTAGTGGTAATAATTTTTAGGAATTTCCCACCCCTAACCTGCCTTGTTCTGCTCACATCAAATCACCTTTCTTTGCAGTTCCCTTGGGGTAGGGAATACAGGATTACCTCTGATTCCTCTGAAGGTATAGCCCTTGGAATTCCAGCTCTATGGAGGAAGGATTTCGTATTAGAGTCCCTGAGCTGTGCAGGCACAGATATTTGTTTTCTGCATCCAAAGCCACAGAAGCCTTGAACACTGAAATTCATCAGCAGGTTCAGCAAATTCCCCCAGGACAAATGTGGCTTTAGTGCTGTATTTATTTCCTACTCTCACTAATGTTTTGGCCTGATTATTTCTTACTAACCTACTGATAAAAAGAAATTACTAATTTACGTGTGATTCAGTTTATGTAATTTTCCTATCAGGTTTTTGATACTTTTAAAAAGTTTTTCCTTTCTATATTTATATCCAGTATTTTTATTTGTTTTCAGTCAGAGTTGACCTGAGCCTGATCAGCCTTGTTATCTGTGTCTATGTCATTTTAATCCTTGTATCCTCCGTATTCAGAACTGTGCCCTAGCATGCATAGGAACTCAATTAGTTTTTGGCTACTTAATCGATACATAGTTGTGTCTTCAATTCTTGCATTCCTTCCTCTATCACCCCGATATTCCCCTACCCTCTGTGTCCCAATTAAAGCTCTTTCACATTTTGAACATCTATTTCCTGCATTTTCCTACTTTAATGGAGCTTTCCTACAATATGTTACTTCCCTCATTATCTCTCTTATGGAAGAGTCCTCATTGTTGTCAACTTCTGGGATCAGCATTGTTTTCATTCTTCATGACTTCTCTGGATCATTCTCTATTCTTTGGCCTTAATCCAAAATCTGATGCTCATCTGAAGTTTATGCAATTCTATAACATTCTTTTTGTAATTTTGCTGCTATCATATGTGGACCTCCGGTCATATCTCTACATTTCTTGAGGGTTTCAGTACTTGATTCCCAATATTTACCCCCACTTCATCCCCTAATACAATGCAGCGCTATACATAATGTTTAAGAGCACAAGTTGGACAACTCAAGGTCAAGTACTAAATCCACCCCTCATTAACATGTAACCTTGGGAGGTCAGCAAGTGTTTCAATGCCTCAGTTTCCTTATTTGTAAAATGAGAATAATGGTATTAGTACCTCACAGCATTGTAAGAATCATATGGAATAACGCATCTAAAGCACCTAGAACAGTATCTGCCACATAATAAATGTGCATTAAATTTACTATTTTCATTACCACACTCTTACCTTAAAAATCTTCCAATTGTATGTTTATGATTCATTAATACCCTAGCCTCAGTACTGCTCAAAAATCCATTTTTTCACCTGTACAAAATTCCTAGACTGTTATGTATAATGGCTTTTCTGAATTTTATTTATTTATTTAGAGACAGGGTATCACTGAGTGACACCCAGGCTGTAGTGCAGTGGTGTGACCATGGCTCATTGCAGTCTTCACCTCCCAAACTCAAGCAATCCTCCCACCTCAGCCTCCTGAATAGCTGGGACTACAGGGACGTGCCATCACGTCCAGCTAATTTTTTTATTTTTTGTAGCAATGGGATTTCACCATGTTGCCCAGGCTAGTTTTGAACTCCTGAGCTCAAATTATCCACCCACCTTGGCTAGGATTACAGGCATGAGGTAGTGTCTATAATAGGCTAGTGGTAGAAATACAGGATGAGCCATCGCTCCTGGCCTGGATTTTATCTTAACCCTTCTCAAGATCTAGCTCTTCCTTTTAGCCAATAACCTCACATCTTACCCAGCAATTGAATCCATTTGAAACTAAATATTTCAGAATTTCTCTGTATTCATTACCATGCTGTCTTCTCTCTACTATCTGGGGAAGCAATGTCTGTGTTTTCCTAAACTAGCTGAGTTTTTACTTCTACTCATTCTGTTCTGTCTTTTTATTCTTTATCTTCAGTAGCTTGCTTTACCAGAAAATTGCTCTAGACTTGACCAAGTCTTACTTTTCCTAAAATAAACTAGCTATTTCCCTCTTGCACCAGCTTTCTTCTTATGTTACCATCATACCTCTTCTTCTAATCTCCTTGCAAGAGTCATTTGTACTTTCTACTTCATTTCCCCGTGTCTCACTATTAACCTCCAGACATCTACTTTTACCACATCACTTCTAAAATTTACCATTCAAAAGTAAGTTGCAATTGCCTTACCAAACCCAAAAATAGGCTCTCTTCAGAACTTTTCTTACAACTCCTTTGCAGCATTAAATATATTGATCACTTTGAAATTTCTTGAAAATTTCCCCCTTCATTAGCTTTCATGTAATTACTCTGTATTCTTTCTTAAAGTGAGTGATGAAGTAATAGAAAGAAACTATGACGGTAGTCGAAAATCCACGTTCAAGCACAGGCCCCACTATTTATTGATCTTAAAGCTCTAATTTCTTTATCAGCAAAATGGGGATAATATTTGTCTTGCTTTGTTGACTAGTTTGTAATGCAAAAAAAAATAAAATATAATAATGGATCTGATAATGCCGTAGAAGACATGAAATACACAAAGCAGCTATGTAAGATTTGATAACTTGGTAAGAGATAGGATGCAAAAAATGACATAAAAAGACCCTTGGTACCCAACTGGCTATGAACTCCTGAAGGACCCAAAGCTATGTATCTTACCTAGAAGGTTTTTTTTGCTATTAAAAGGTTTGGAAGTATCTTTATGAAGGCATTACCATGTCCATTAGGGCTTTTACCAGGAAGTTAGGAGACTTCAAATCAAAAACCTTTTGACTTACCTGGACTCACTTCAAAATGAAAAAAATTAATTATTGGGAACACATTGAGGGAACTTGCATTTTGATAACATAGTAGGAAATCAAAATGTTAATGATACATCTGCACATAAACAAGCATTCAAATTGAATCAGGCCAATTGTGAGTAAGACATATTACCAGTTCTTGGGGAAGATGCCCTTGCGATTTCTAAGGAGCAAGGTTTCTTTGTAACAGCTGTGTCCATGAGATCACACAGAAAGTTCTCATTTTCTGAAGGAAATGTATCCAGAGAAGCAGATGGTACAATTTCCATAGTGTAATTTCTCTTCTTTGGATAGGACTCCTGAAAAGAAGAAAAAATAAAAACAGGTTTGTGATGAAGAAACAGCTTTGTTTAATTTATAAAAACTAGAAAAGATAATCAGATTCAATAGTTATTTCCAAAGTGATTGACAGCTTATGATTCATCTGTTTGAATAAATTATAGAATTATACAACGCCAGTATCATCAGAGATATTTTAAAGAGTCCTCATAATTTAGAAAGACTGAATTTATTACTGAATTAGTAAAGGTATTGCCCTTTTTTATAATCTGTATCTATTATCTAGTTGTGGCATAAATTATTGTTTAACTAATCAGCAGTCAGTCCCAAGACTCTACTCCTTTGCCGACCTCCTGGAGATAGCCATATAATTCAACTTTGGCCCATTAGATGTAAGGGAAAGTTTGCTGAAAGGCTAATGGAAAAATACTTTTCCCCAGAGAAGAAGCTCATGAGGAGGCTCTTTCAGAGCTAAGGTCATCCCTAGGCTCCTCTCTTTGGATGCAGTTTTGATATCTGGAGTGAGGGCAAGCATTTTGTGGCCAGAAGGCAAGAAGTTTCAGATCAAAAAGGTAACAAGCCAAGAATGGCAACAGAAGGATAAAAAGAGCCAGGGACCTTGATGATATTGTTGAGCTGCTCAAATAGACCCAGGGCCAGTTTCTCCAGGCTTCTTACATAAATAACAATATTCTTAAAGTTTGGGCCATTGCTAATTGGGTTTTCTGTCATTTAGAGTTAGTCTTCCCATCTAGCACACCAGTATTTTTCCTTGTAAATACTGTTAACTAATACACTAAGGTGCTCTTTTCAGGTTAGGATAAAATGTAGGTCCAGTTCTACATTATTGATTTTTTTGATATATTCTAAAAATTAGAATTCATTTCATTATAGATTTTAATTTCTTGTACATAAGGCATTAATTAGTCAACAAATGTTTATTGGGCATCTACTATATATATGTTATATATATAGTATATTTATATATATGTCATATATATAAATTATGTGCTAAGTGCTGGACATTTTTTAAAACTAACCAGACATGATTCTTGCTCTAAGGAAGTTTACAGTCTGCTGGAGAAGACTGTGAAATTCTGCATGATGAAATTCATAATTAATCATGTTTTATTTTTGCTACAGATTCTCCTCTAGTTTACAAAAAACACAAAGTTAAGTTGAAAATATTGTAAGTAGAAACTGCATTTAATACACTTAACCTACCAAACAGCATAGCTTAGCCTACCCTACCTTAAATGTGCTCAGAACACTTACATTAGACTACACTTGGGCAAAATCATCTGGTAACACAGTACATTGTAGAGTATAGGTTATTTACCCTTGCCATCATGTGGCTGACTGGGAGTTGTGGCTTGCTACCATTGCCCATCATCATGAGAGAGTATCTATTACAGGATATAATGCTAGCCCAGGAAAAAGTCAAAATTCAATATCTGATGTATGATTGCTACTGAACATATACTGCTTTCACATCACTGCAAAGTCAACAACTCATAAGTTGAACCATCGTGAGTTGTGGACCATCTTTATGTGTTACCTTTATAAAGTATGCTTCACAATCAAGAAAAAGACTAATAAAAAATAAACTAATATTTTAAAAAAATCTCCCAAAGTATATTCTAGGGTTGATAAAGATTTACTATGAATTCCTACTTTTTCCACAATGATATTACAGTACAGCAGAATTCAAGGTCAGGGTAATTGCTTTCAGACCATACCAGACCCTGACACGTCAGAGAGTCAATTACAGTCACTATAATCCATTGAAAGCAGGAAATTGGGAGTAATTTATTTTTAACAACAAAGGGTGACAAAATAGAAGTCATCCAGAGGAAAGCAATAGGAATAGCATATAATTTTGAAACCATGTCAGAGAAGAAATGATGAACGGAACTGCAGTGTTCTATACAGAGAAGCCTTACAGACACATAATAGCTTTCTCAACAATTTGAAAGGCTATCCCTCATGAAATATCCCACAAAGCAGGGATGGGGAAAAGTTACCTTGGTATATTTATTCTAAAGTTCTTAAAGGCAAGACAAAGACTAATGTTTATAAATCAAAAAGGGCAAATTTGGGTCAATACAAAAATAATTTTCTATGAATTAATAATATTGTTTACCTTTCAAAATAAAAGGCACTATAAAATTTGTTAACAAAGAGCATTAGAAAGCAACAGAAGGAATTCCTCATTACTGAAAACCATCCTGCAGAATTATCTGTTGATAAAATTGTGGATAAAACTCATTGTATAAGGAGTCCAGCAGGTGACCACAAGCTCCATGAAGGCTGGAATTTGTCTTGTTCACCACTCTATCCCTAGAATCTAATACAGGTCCTGCCAAAAGTTGATGAGTTGATATCCAATAAATATATATTGATCAACTGAACAGTCTCTAGTGTCCTTTAAACAAAGCTAACTACAGGTTAGGGAAATGATTATTTTTTTTTCAAATGTAAATTACTTTGTCTTTCAGTTTGGTTAATGTTGTTCACTGGTTTGCATATAAAAAGGGAAGCTGAAATTACAACGGTAAGATTGTAAAGATTCCATGAAAAAAAGAATCTCCAGTGAAACCCCTAGTTCATCCTCAAATTAAACTAATCAAAACAATCCATGGATTTAGTTAAGTTGTAATGTTACAGTGTGTATGAACACTTATGCAGATTTTAAAAGCCTTGAAAACCACCTTGAAATTTAACCAAAAAGAATGGGTTAATTTGCTTTCTTCCTTAAAAATGAAGTATATTTGTTTATTAGGGAATAATTTGAAAATATAAAGAAAGAGGAAAATAATCACATGAAAATCCAGCATGCGGAGAAAAGCGAGGGTAATATTTTGGTGAACATCCTCCCAGACTGTTTTACCCTGAAAATGTGTGGATGTGTGAGTATGTGCAAAGGAAAGAAAAAAATATTTTAAACAACAATGAAGTACTCCCTCTTCTGCTTCCTAATGGAGGGCCATAATTTCTTCTTGGAATGTAAGTCTTTGTAGAACCTGGCTTCCTTAGGGAAGGCAAAGCCCCTGAGGGAAGGAGTTGGTAAAACGAAGATAGTTAAACTATGCTTTTGTAACCAAATATTTCAGTATCAAAGAAAACAGGTATTTCAACAAAATATCTGACAAATGACTCTCAAAAGACGATATGCAAGCTAATTTTTAAAAAATTGGATCCATGTGTGTCCACTACTCAGTTTAAGAGATACAATACTACCACTATATCATTGAAACCTGACCCCCACCCCATCCCATGTTCATCTTTCCAATCTCACCCTTTTTCTTCTTCTACCAGGGATAAATGCTTTCTGAACTTTGTGTTTTTTATTCCTTGGATTGTGTTAAATTTTAACTACACATGTAAGTATCAATAAAAAATAAATTTTTAGTACTGTGTGCTTTCAAACTTTATATATACAGTATCAAATGCTCCAGTTCTTCTGTGATTTTTTTCTCAATCAATATTATGTTTCTGAGTTTCACTTATTTTCAGCATGGTACAGGAGCTCACTGTACAAGAATACCACAATTCATTCACACATTCTCCTGACAAAGCACTTTTAAATGTTTCCTTGGTGTTTGGTTATTTAGGACAATGTTATTACACATTTTCCCATACAAAGTCTCTTGGAACAAGTAACCACCGTTAGGCTGCCTATTCCAGTAGTGATGGGGAAGACTCAAGAACAGATAGCAGATGAGAGAAATAAATGAAATCAAGAGATGATAATAAGAATAGAAGTTGTATTCACTGCAGATTCTATAGAATCTTGAGGAAGGCATTTGCAGTTTTCTACCCAAAGTTTTCTACTTTGCTCTAAGGAAGTTTATATGAGGGTTCAAACGATGTTCTATAAATCTTATTAAAATATTATATATAAGGATACTTATATATAAGTATAATATTATAGAGAATATTTCCTAATCTGTTATTTACCTCTAATCATATATTTTGTACCCTTTTCAATGACAATTATATGGCTATATGATGAACTTGGGTCCCAATATACACCTGATCATAATGTATTTAGCAAATCCTATGATATTGAAATTTTAATGTTTTGCTTTTAAAGCATCATTTTTGTTCATGTATTTTATTTACATATTTTAACTATTTTCAAATACAATTCCTGTGATAATAGGTATATGCCTTATGTTTACATATAATTGAATCTGTGTCTAGACTTTCTAATTGGTTCCATATATATGTCTATTCTAGTACAGGCATACCTGAAGGTTTACTGTGCTTTACAGATATTGCAATTTTTACAAATTGAAGATTTATGGCAACTGTGCATTAAGCAAGTCTATCAGCACTATTTTTCTGAAATGTTCTCACTTTGTGTCTTTGTGTCACATTTTGGTAATGCTCCCACTATTCCAAATTTTCCATTACTATTATATCTGTTACGGCGATCTGTGATCAGTGAGCTTTGATGTTACTGTTTTGATTGTTTTGGAACACTGCAATCCACAATCATATAAAATGGTGAACTTAATGCATAAGTGTACTATGTGTTCTGAGTGCTCCACTGACTAGCCATTCCCCTGTGTTGTCTTCTCCTTGGACCTCCCTATTTCCCAAGACACAACAATATTGAAATTAGGCCAACTAGTAACCCTTCAAATGCCTCTAAAAGTTCAAGTGAAAGGAAGAGTCACATGTCTCTCACTTTAAATCAAAAGCTAACAATGATTAAGGTTCGTGAAGAAGGCATGTCAAAAATGCCTCTTGTGTCAAACAGCTAGCCAAGCTGTGAATGCAAAGAGAAAGTTCTTGAAGGAAATTAAAAGTGCTACTCCAGTGAACACACAAATGATAAGAGAGGGAAATAGTCTTATTGCTGACAGGGAGAAAGTTTCAGTGGTCTAGAAAGAAGATCAAACCAGCCACATTATTCACTCAAGCCATATCCTAATCCAGAGCAAGACTCTAACTCTCTTCAATTCAATGAAGACTGATAGAGGTGAGGAAGCTGCAGAAGTTTAAAGTTGGC